CGCTGTGTGATTGCTTATTTTATTTTCTACTGTAAATATTGTTTGGCGAGGGGGTGGAAATGTAAGAGGATTGTGTGTAAATATTTTGCTCACTTGAAAATTTTAAGAATAAAGTTAAATCCATTTGGTGTTTCAAGTAAATTACTCCTTAAAACTAGATAATATTTGCGCCTTAACAATAATATTATAATAAAATAAGTACATTTTTAAAATTTTCTAAATATTAGATTATATTTTAGAGTTTTTAATGTTTTTCAAGTTTGAGAATACTATTAAAGTGTATTAATGAAATGAAATTATTAAAATGACATTAATGAAATAACATAAGAATAGTTTTGTTAAATATATTTTAAGAAATTTATATATTAAATTGCATAGTTTATTTTTGTAATTAATTTATAAATAAAGATTACAAGACTAAGTGTTTTATAAATAGAACATGTTATTTTGCTCAAATAAGAAAGTTCCTCTACATCATTCACTTTCATACACTACTTTATTTTTTAAAATATTCTTAGGTAAAAAATGTGTCTTGAATTAGGTTACTTTATAAATAATACAGATTTATAGAACATTATTATAAAATTGTAGTATTGTAGGATGGTATGCTATGTATATTTTTCTGCTACACTAGTAAATCTCCTATCTACTGAGGTGTGAAATATGTAACTTAAAGCATGTAAGTTTTTTATATCTATTTTGATGATATTTTTTTTATTGATATTTTCTTAATAGATTCACTAATTATCAATTTTATTGATTTTATTTTATTAAAAAATTATTGACTTTGTGATTGAGATATGATAACAACGGTGTAAAAATAAAGGAAAATATTTAAGAAATAACAATTTGAAAATGATTCAATCAGCATAAAAAATAAGTATTTCTTGCTTATCTAACTCTTTTTGACACTTAATGAATGTTTCCTTGAAATTAATCATACTTGAGAGATATTGAGATCAGATTTGGGTATGTAGTTTAATTACTTGGCTATGTTTGTATGTATGGGACTAGTAGTTGGTATAATATTTATAAAATATATTTTCTAAGAGCGAAACAAGGAAGAAAAGGATGCAATACATTGCCTTATATATATATATTTTGAGTTTTGCCTTAAATATATATATTGAGTTTAGCAATACATTTTATACATGTAAAATATGTGTTCTAATACTTTTAATGTAATACTTAATTAGTGACATATTTCCAATTGTTAGAAGAAATTTTTCAAAATGTAAATGTATTGATCTGTCATTTTTTTTATATTTAAATTTGCTAATGCAAGTTTATAGTCTCCAAGTATGTATGCTGCATTATAATTACTATATAATTTAAGAGCATAATATTTCTCATATCAAAGAAACTAGCTCTGCTAAACATCATATATTTATTAAAAAAAAATTGAAATTAGATGCTTTGTTGAGTTTATCAAAAAAAGGGTATAACATCAATTCCATATAAATTTTTTTTCTTATATAGATGGTCCATGTATTTTGACAAAAATTAGCACAAATTTTTGGTTGGCATATTGCGGATATGTAATCTAACTTTTTAAACTTGTGTGATCAATTAGATATAAAGTGAGTCATTTATGGCAATAATATATGAAAAAAGTTAATATGCTCTTATAAAAAATCTTATGAGAAAATAGTTTTTTTATAAACTCAATTATTTGATAAATGTAAAAATCACATATTTGAGATATTTCCACCATTAAATGAAGTTTGCTCTATGCTCACCCCACTACTCCTGTTATAATGCAAGTACTTGAAATTTTTTTTTTCAAAGGGTCTTCTCAAATATGCTAAAGGTGTTTAGCAAATGTTAAAAAACATTTGTTTTAAAGTACTATTTATAAGATTGAAATTTTGTTTAAGGAAAATTTAAAAA